GACGATAGAGGGAGCGTCCAGTCAGCGATAATGATCGAGAAGGGGGGCGTGGCCTCGTCTTGATATATAAGGGAAATGCGCGGGAGACTCAGGGCTGTTGCAGTGGAATCTCCGCCTGATGTCAAGTGAATGTCTTCAATGAAGTGCCATCTCAAGAGAAGTGTGTCGTCATTATACATGTCAACCCGACAGGTGGTTAAAATTGGTGAATTTGGTCTTGAAAACCCTTGAGAAACCTCTATTAACTGAAAGACACCCAATAACCTCAGGCACATAAACATTTCAATGTCGGGCGAGCCTACAATTGGAGAAACTACGGGCAGGGGTTACTAAATGAGTTTGCATAGGAGCGGTAGGCTCATGTACAACACCATGTATTGAACACCCCACGGAGTAAATTAAATAATAACCTTGGATAGTTTCTAATGGGTTCCTGCGTTTGTCTCAAAGAAAGGCTTTGAGTAAATAACTATTGGAGCTGTGACTCACAAAATACCTGAGGCATTGGCAGGCAAACAGTAAAAAAACGAGAATACATTGCACTGCAATGGGACACTCGACATTGTGAGAAATAGTGAATTTAATGGGAAATCATTCAGACATAGCATGTATGCTATGTGCAGTTCCTACACCACCGTAAATGTCGTTACATTGGGATGCTGGGCCGAACTGGTTGGGAACCGAGTCCTTCAAAGGAGGGGCTGGCACGCAGATGCCTGAAAGATGCCCGGAGAGGCCACTGGAGATGGAAACCAGAAAGGCTTAAGCAGTGCCTTTGACCAGAGGTTCAGCCTGAATATTTAAACTAAAACTATATATATTTTTTATTTTACCATGTAAGGCCCACTAAGTTTTTAGCTCTATTTCAGAAACGACCTGGCCACAAATGATAGCTCAACAAAGTGGCTTTATGCAGAAATTTCTAGCAGCAGCCAAATACTCGAAACGTATGTTAATTCTGAATGTGGAGGGAAAACCGCAGGTTCTGGAGAAGAAAAAAAATCACATGACCAATGGAAAGAGAGAACGAGAACATGCGGACACCAAATATACAAGTGTCAGGGTCGAGATCGGGATCGAATCCACGACTTCCTGTATACCCGCTGAGGGAGTTAGAATCTCACCACCATTGCGAGTTCGAGTAGGGGGGCTTCTCTAACCTGCTTGGACCGATTGATTTTTCTGATGTTACCGTTTCCTAACGGGGCTTGTTGCTGTGGGTTAATGTGGTTTTCATTGAGTTCATTCTATGCATGGGTGCTGCCCTAATATTTATGTAGTGTTCATGGCTTCCCACTATACCCAGAAAGAGGTTTTCTTTGTTGTAGGGCATATAAAGTGACAGGACGCTTACACCCGTATTTCTCCTCTTCTCGTGCTTTTTTCCATGATGGATTGATAGTGGTACCCTGCAGGTTTTTTTTTTCTCGTGCATTACAATTGTGGGTGCAGGCGAGTTTAATCGTGTTACCTTATAGATATAGTTAAAGCCACCTGCATTGGAGCAGGCACCGTCGTAGATTTCTCCCGTTTCCGAATTCCCAATTTAGCAATAGCCGGCGCTTCTGGTTCCCGTCCATACATTAGAAAAAAATGGCGAGTACCCCGTTGAGGCATGCGGGGCCAATCTTTACGCAGCCAGCGTCGCTGCAACATGCAGGTCCCAATCATCTTGAGCGGTGTTTACTTGGTGACAAAGCATGGATGTCAGCATCCTATGCAGCCGCTCGACCATCCCGTCAGTCTGCGGGTGGTATGGGGACGTCCGGATCTTTTTGGTCCCCAGCGAGTCACACACGTCTTTAATCAATTTCGATGAAAAATTTCTGCCTTGGTCGGTAAGCAATTGTTCCGGGGCCCCCTTATCCAAGATGTACCCTTTTAAGAACGCCTCAGCGATCGACGTCGCTGACTGGTCTACTAGCGGCCATGCCATCGGCCAACAAGTTAAGTATTCGACCCCGCCGAGCAAATATTTGTGCCCACGGGGGGTGACGGGGAACGGACCCAAAATATTTAGTGCCACAATTTCGTTCACTCTCGAAACTCGAATCGATTGCAATGGGACACGATATGGCCGTGCCGGCGCTTTCCTCCGTGCACATTCCTGGCACGCTTTTACATGCTGTTTCACATCATTAAACATTCCCGGCCAGTAAAATTCATTCCCCACTGTCAACGCGGTCTTCTTCTCCCCCAAATGCATCAATTTCTCATGTATCTCGTTAATCAGTTTCCCCCGCAACACCCTCGGGACAACAATACAAATTTTTTGTGCTTCCACATCCCAGCGAACAAGCAACCCCTCCGTCAACATCAAAAATGGGCGATCCTCCAATCCCCTTGAACGAGAGGCACGCAGCCTCATCCTAAGGCAATTCCTTCTTTAACCGTAGCGGTACCAATATTTGCGATGCAGGTGGGACGCGCACGATGTGGCTCACCACGGCCTGCACCACAGCGTTCGCCACCGCAAACTTCGAAGGCGTCCAAAAATTTCATACATCTCCCCGACGGTAATTTCAAACAACCTTTTTCCACCGAAATCTTACTCGGCATCTTTTGCAAAAAAATCCGTGCCCAATAAACACCGTACTGCCAAGGCCGTTGAAACCAAAACACTTCCCGTCACAATCACCTCCCCAAATTGAATCGTCGCAACCACGCAGCCCATAATGCCCAAACTACCCCCGTTTGCCGCTACGCATGGCCCTTCCACCGGCCCCAAAGATCCAGGCGACGTCGGCAGCGACTGAAAAGTTTGCAACGAAATGAGAGTCGCCGACGCCCCGGTATCTACAATAACCCGTACCATAACACCTTGAATGCATGCCATCACATCCCCAACACACGATGTACCAACGCACCCCACATATCCCGGCCATGCATACTATCTGAACCCGATGAATACGGGTGAGATGACGCGGATGAATGATGTGGATAGGGCGGCTCTGTATTGAATGCATCTCGACTCACCCGGGATCCTTGGCCTTGGGGGAACCGCCCACTGTAGTTGTTCGGCGCCCATGGAGGACCACCTCTCCGTCTCCAGCAGTCACGGGCGAGATAACCCCTCCACCCGCACTTGTAGCATGTCCGATGCATGCTGTCTCCAAATACCCCGGGACGACGCCGTCGTTCTCCGGTCGACATCCCGGCCGCCGCTGCCATCGGCGGCGTCTCGTCCACCACCACCGCCACCGTGCTCCCGGCCCCGGCAGGGGTCGTCAGCAACGGCTGCGCCACCGCCGCCGCTGGTTCGTCTCGTATGTTAAGGTTGACTTGTATGTTCCTGGCGATCAGCAATGACGACACGTCGTCGTCATCATCCTTGTCCGTGAGCAACAAGACGACTTGCAGCTCCTTCGCCAGCTGTAACATCTTCTCTTGCAGCAGGGAGTCCCAGCCCTCCTCGTCCATCGCCGGGTACGCAACCTGGGCGAGGGCCAGCAAGGCGCTGCAGAATGCCAGGGGGGACTCCGTGGCCTCCCGTTTCCTCTGTTGAAATCGACGTTTGGCGACCGACCGCAGCTCGTAGACTTTCCTCATTGCCGCAATAGCACCATCCAATGTTTTTCTGACAGCGGCAGGGAGTCCGGTAAAGGTCGCCAAGGAGTCATCATCCAATGCCGTCGGCAGTGCTCGTAACGCGGCACTCTCCGTCCAATTCAGGGACTCGTAAGCCGCACGGAATCTTCGTATGAACGCCGTCCAATCTCCCACTTTGGCCTCAAATCGTTGTACGTGTAGCCGTCATGGCGGTTCCGCCGACTGGTCGCCTTCGTTGTCAGAGTCCTCCACCCGCTCCGGCTGAGCGGCAACCTCCGGCAGTAGACCCGGTACAGGTAGTTGAATGCGGTTCTCCGTCAAGAAGTTCCGGAACTCCTCTGACAACTTCTCCATCCTGGCCTCCCACTGGGTCATGAGGACTCGCCAATCCTCTGGCGATCGCGGCCCTTCAGCACCACCCGAACCGCCGTCCCGGTCAGGAGTACTGCCGGCCATCTGGCCGGACTGTACATTGTCGTTGTCGCTGTCGCCGCCCGAGTCCACTGGCACATTTGTTTTCTTTGCCGCTTTTTTTTTTACATCGTGGCGTGCTCCGTACTTTTTCTGACACCAAATGTAGTGCCGTGGCTTCACTTGGACGACAATCGCCTTTCTTCCACCGTCATTTTTATTTCCATCGTTCCCCACACACACACACACTATATAATTTCTCCTCTCCGTGCTCCGCCAACTCGAACACTCGAATTCCCCTCAGCACCGTCCACTCATACTCCTGGTCTCTCCACACAGTCTCTTCTTCACTTCCCGCACACAGTGGTTCTCTCTCTATCTCCTCACACACAGTGACTCGTCTATCTCTTCACACGCAGTGACTTTTCCATCTCCGCACACACACTGACTCGTCTATCTCTTCACACACAGTGACTTGTCTATCTCTTCACACACAGTGGCTCGTCTATCTCTTCACACAGAGTGACTTGTCTATCTCTCACACACAGTGGCTTATCTATCTCTAACTCTCCCTGTACCTATCTCTACCGTAACTACCACTCTGCTAACGCTAACTCTCCCTATCGCTATTTATTGTCCTCTGAGTTCGGCTCTCAATGTATTCTTCACTAACATTTGCCGGCTCCCCTCTTCGCATCTCTCGCTGCTCTCTCCACCTCTCGCCAACAACTCCCCAACAACAACTCAACTCCCCGTCCAAATCACCGAGTTGTATCCCCTTTCCAATCAGCCTTAATGAATTGCCACGTGCCTCGCTGGCATTTTTTTTGCAGCTCGCACCTGTCCAACGGCCCAGACTTCGTGACGCCGCCACTTAACGCTAACAGCCTCTCGACCAATCACAGCCCTCGTGCCTTGACTCCCTTAATTACTTTGGTTTGTTTACGCCACCCGTGACTTCACCACCTGCTCGACCTTATGTGACCCACACTGTTTGTATGTCTGTATGTACTGTATATGGCCAATTTACCCATGCGTATCTTCTACTCCACTACATCTATACTGTGTTGTGTTTTTTTTTGTAATTAATTGTAAAATATAAATAAAAATACATATGCAATTATGCACATTTATGAAAGCATGTAAATGTTATGCAAATTAGGCTAAATTCATAAAAGAATTAAACGTGTGTATGTGTTTTATGTTAATTGAGTGTAAGTGTAATATAATCAATCGTGTGTGATTAAATGTGTATAAAGTATTACGTGGAATATATGTTTATGGTCTATGTATGTGTGTTTAGGAGAGTAATATAGTATGTGGTTGTTCGGAGGCGCCTGCGGTGCACAGCCTGCGGCGGCCCCCAACAGACTGGTCAAGTAAATCCCTACGATCCACTCGCACAGCGTGCGGTGGGCGTTCATCCAGCAGTGGATTTAAGCACCAAAAAAACTACAGTACTAATGTAATTAGAACCGTGTGTATATGTCCGTACGTAATACATGTGTGTGTAGTGCACATGTGTTTTACCGTCAAAACTATTATTGAAAAGTATTATTGTAGAGTACTGTAAAAAGAATGCGAACGGCTTTGATGTAAATTTCGATTTAAAGCTTTCGTGACTGCAAGGATTCATCTTATTTGGTTCTTTCGGTAAAGTCACGTAGAATGAGAATAAAATAATAAAATAAAAGAATAAAATTCTCACGACGTTTCGGCCACAACACAAAGTGGCCTTCTTCAGGTGAAAGGAACAAACATGTCGGGATGACAGAGCTACAATGAACAATTGGCAAGTAGGACATCAATTAATTGGTGGGCAAAATTGCGTGATTAAATGTAATATCTCGAAACAATAGTTATCATGTGAGTGTGTAGATTCGCAGCATAGATGCTTATAAATGTGTAGTGTGACATCAATGAATTCATTGGTAATTTATGCAATTAACGAAATGTCCCAAAACAATAGTGTACGCGCCAGTGTGTAGGTTTGGCTAACAGATGCTTATCAATTGGATAATGGGGCATCAATGAATTCACGGGCAATTTTGTGTGATTAAACGTAATGTCTCAAAACAATATTATTTGTGTGAGTATGTAGATTCGTAACATAGACGCTTATAAATGTTTAGTGTGTCATCAATTAATTCATTGGTAAGGCTATGCGATAATGAGAAAACGAATGACTAAAATACTTCTAAACGACCGTATTCATGCAACTCAAGGGACAGAATACTGCTTTTCACGACCAGCTAATTGTTAACACACTACCTTGGAATGGCAACCCTTTGCAAAAGAAAAACAACTTATTGGAACAATCTTATTCTTACTGATATGCGCGTTGTGTGTTTGTGTGTTGGTGGGCAGTGACCAAGAGGTCCAATAATTATAGCGGGCAGTATGGTTTGAGTTGTCCACGTATTATTTCTGCTGTGGTTCTGACGAATCAATGGCTTCCGTGGTGCAGTTCCTTGTACCGAAAATACCTCAGATCTCCAGCAGGGGGCACTGGGTCGGTGTGTGTGTCGAACACACGGCGCTCTCGGCTGCGCATCAGTCTCTCTCCACCGCTGGGGTGGTTGCTGAGTCAGCACGCTGCCCATGCTGGCGGCGGTTTCCCGTGCTGGCAGAGATGATGTGCGTGATGGTACCGTCGCCAGATAGCGCTCGCAGCCCGTCCGCTGGGCGGCAGTGCGTCTTCCTCGTTGGCACCAGACACTGTTGATCGTCCCTCGAGCTCAACTTTTGCTGGAGTGTGCTCGGGGCTTCCAATTCAGCACGTCTGCAGATTGTCTGCGCGCCCGGGTCTGTTATCAGTCGGAAGGCCTGTGGCCGCGCAGCTTCCCCCTCTCTCAGCAGCTTGCTTTGCGCAAGCACCCTTGGCGCTCCCAGCCCTTCCCCCAGGAGGGCTCCTGCTGTGAGCTGCTCGTCCGCTGCTCCTCACTCACTCTCCAAAACTCATAAAATGTATTCGCACACCTCTTAGCTTCTCACAACTCTTATAGCTTAGTACAATGCAACTTCTCGCAGTCCTTGACTCTGAAAGTGACTCAAAACATAAGGATAAATGTAGATTACAACTTTCAGCGATACTCCGTCTTCTTTGGTTCTTTCGGTAAAGTCACGTAGAATGAGAATAAAATAATAAAATAAAGCAATAAAATTCTCACGACGTTTCGGCCACAACACAAAGTGGCCTTCTTCAGGTGAAAGGAACAAACATATCGGGATGACAGAGCTACAATGAACAATTGGCAAGTAGGACATCAATTAATTGGAGGGCAAAATTGCGTGATTAAATGTAATATCTCAAAACAATAGTTATCATGTGAGTGTGTAGATTCGCAGCATAGATGCTTATAAATGTGTAGTGTGACATCAATGAATTCATTGGTAATTTATGCAATTAACGAAATGTCCCAAAACAATAGTGTACGCGCCAGTGTGTAGGTTTGGCTAACAGATGCTTATCAAGCATCGTCTCGGTTCTCAATGAGACGCTGCTGCGCAAAGTACAGCTCGTAGTGGCACCACTCGCTCTCCACGAAACTTTGTGAGATGACAAAGAGAGTCTTGCGGCTCTGCTCGATGCAGTCAATAATGTTGTCCATGATGTGGTGGCTGGGAACAAAGTCCCGCTCGTGCACGCAGAGTCGAAACGGTGGTACTGAGTGTGACTCCAGCTCAGACAAAAGTTGCTCCATTACCCAGGCAGCGTCGTTCTGGCTGTATGACACAAACGCATCGTAGTCTTTGTTTCCATCTGGATCTGAGAGGAAATTCCGCCGCTTGGCTTGGAGCCAAGCCCACGTCATGCACAGGTACCAAAGCGCATCTAGGTACCAACAGAGCCCGACCAGGAGAGCAGTGCACACGAATGTGGTAACACAAGCTATCACGCTCTTCATTGTTGTGTCACAGTAGAGTGTGGGGTAGGAGACCGAGGACAGCTGTTTACCAACTTCATTCTCTGGATTGGAGCATTGATAGTTAGCTGGCCATCCTTCAATGTACAATCTTGAGGAACTCTCACAGAAGGTGACAAAGTGGCGGATGTCGCACATGCAATGGAATGGGTTTCCCCTCATGTCTAGCAGGGTAGGATTACCCAGACCTTGCAGGACAAAGGGATCCACTGTCCACAATATGTTTCCATGGATCGTCAGCACCTTCAGCCAGGGCAGAACCTGGGGCAGCTGAACTGGGATGGTGCTCAGCTTGTTGTTACTCAAGTACAGCTCTTTCAGGTTTTCAAACTTCATTATTTTTTTGCCAACGTTTTGGATCTTATTGTTACGTCGAGTGACTGCAGTGATGTTGGCAAGCAGTCAAACACGTCATCTGTCAGTAAATTGGACGAGATGTTGAAAACTTGCAAATTCAAAGGCCACTTGCAATTGGAATTCCATCCACTGACGATCTGATTTTCAGAAACATCAAGTAGCTTCAGCGAGGGACACATTGTTAGCATGGCACCGACATTCTGTATATGAGTCAAATAGTTTTTCCTAAAAATTAGTTCCATAAGGTTTGGTAGTAGTACTCCAGAGCATGTCGCGAATTAAGTATATTCTTATTCTTAGTTTTTTCTATCTTAGCAATCATTGGAAAGATTTGATAAATCATTTCAGTTCTTGATTGATTGTTCACGCTTACAGTGGCTTTCAGACAGCATACATAAAAACAAATTTCGTCTCCCCCCTCCTCTTTTAAAAAAAAAATAGATGGACTAGTCCTGGCAAACTGCCAATCGTTGCGCGTGACGCAAACGTTATTTTTTATATATATAAATAAATATGCCGTTTTCAAAATAAATTTATGCAAACCGACACACCTGATGATGACCGTTTGAGTTATGGTCGAAACGTCGTGAGAATTTTTTTATTGTTTTATATATATTTTGTTATTTTGTTGTTTCTCTTCAACGTGACTTTACCGAAAAAACTAAGAATATGAATTACTGCAGTCACGAAAGCTTTAAATCAAAATTTAAGTATATTCTGTCAACAAATTACCTGAAATATCAAGGGTAAGGATATTTGTTTAGGCCTCTTAAAATTCCACAAGGTAAATAATAGAGGTTTACAAAAATTAAGGCCAGTGATTGAATGTTAACTAAGAAAGGTTGGAGATTTTAAAGTGAATAAAACATATAAAAATGTTTATTCTCCAAGCTTTCAATCAATATATGCCGCATATGGGCAGCATACTTGAAACCATCTCGTATAATAAAATTACCAACGCCCTCATATGCAATGTGTCGTAGATTCAGAGATCTCAGTTTTTGTGCTTCTATTACTTCATTTAGCAGTAAATTGGCAGCAGATTCTTATAAGCAGGTCTGTGAAATAGTCAACACTTCTAGTATGCTGTTTGGCTTTGAAATACATTGAAAAAAGTTTACGTCGCCAGAGTAATCAGTAAAATCAAGGAACTACAATTGCAACTGCACACTGTTCCCGGAGACATCACATATGATGTCAGTGAGCAGCGCAATGTTTTTGCACAAGGTTAAGCTTAGAGTCACACTTTGTAGACTGTGGAATGCCGACAAGGAGCTTGGAGTATAGACGATCAGGTCTCCAGTCACAATGGAGAGATGTTCCAGTTCCATCGTCTCGTTGACACTTTGATATATTTTGGTGACATTCAGGTCTCCAACCTTCAGATGATTCAGAATCTTGAGAGATGTGAAGGAACCTGGAATATTTAAAGACACGTAGGAGTTGTTTCTGACATCCAGAGACCTTACAGATCGACTTGAGAACAGCAAATGATTCATCCCATGCTCCTGGTAATCTGTTATTACTCAAGTCAATGTCTTGTAAAGCAGAGTTGCTTAAGAAAGCTAAGGGGTCAATGCTTGATATTTGGTTGAAGGCCACATTTAGAGTTTTTAGCCATAAAAGTGCTGACAGGTGCTTTCTCTGAATGCTAGAGATCTGGTTGTAGGACATGTCCAGAGAGGTTATGGTGACTGGGAGGTCTTCAGACACAGATTGCAGGCCCAGGCGTGAGCAGTTGGCTTTGTCTCCTCTTATCTGGCAGCCGCTGAAGATAGAAGCCCCATGGCTCCACGCAACTCCCGCCATTAGGCCGAACATCACCAGCAGAGCCACGTGCATCTTCGTTGCACTCCCACAGCCTCCTGCCCAACACTGACGCCACAGAGAGGTACAAACGGAGGGTTATGCACGGTGAGAATTGTCTTTGTCTCAGAAATCACTCATATAGCTGCACATGGAAAGAATAAAGTCCATAATATCGGGGATTGGTGACACATCATGCTCAATAATACCAGGACTGGCAATAAGAGCACATATCACAATACCAAATTGGTCATGCTTGAAGAGCATGGTATTTATTACAATAGTTAAGCACGAATAGGCTATGCATCCAGCCAAGTGGCTCAGCAGGATAGTGAGCGGCTCCCAATGGAAGGTTGAGAATTCAAACAATGGTTGGTGGTTGACTTTGCCGATCATATCTCTGGTGTCAATACAATTATTCTTGATTTGTTATACTATTATTATTACTTTGTGGGGACATCAACAGTGGTTAATGTCGTCACCGTCATATGAATGTGGTATTTATCCCCCTGGCTGCCACTGTGCCAGGAAGGCGATTACGAATCAGTGCTTTTTCCGCTCAAGATAAACTACGTTGGGAAAACCGTTCCAAGTCGTGTCAACCTCTGATCAAATACACCTAGACATAAGAGCCGACCACAAGATCGCTCATCGCAGATCGCAGCACGCTATCCGCTACACCATCACTCCTCACCGCCTTCAACACCTACAAACAAACACATCTGAGAACACGCACTGGTTAAGGTTAAAGGGTTTATAATCCATAATATAAGTTTTTTGGGGTTATTAAGCTGATGCCCATTTGATTTGGTTGTTTATCCTGAAACGTCGCCTGTACATGTTGTTCTGTTAAGGTCACACTCCCTGGAAAAGAATCGAGACTCCTTAGGTAAGCAAGTCAGATGCCTCAAAAAGCAACATGGTTTATAAAATAATTCGTTCTCCAGAAAATGACTCCAGAAACACCTAACCTGCTTAGAACCCATCCCTGACCCACCGCGGGCCCACCCCGGACTCACCCTGGACTCCAATCGGACCCACCCCGAAAACTACAAGACATTCTCCGATCCGTCACAATTGATACATACAATGGATCAACTGCGACTTCCACAACCACTACATTATTTAGACAGCTGATGTGGAGAGAATGCAATCCTAACAAGGTTGTAGAGCAAATCAGATTTTTAGTCGCACAAATGCAAATCAATATTAATTCCTGCAAGGAAAGAGCGTTATTAACGAATGTATACTCTTTGGTTATTTCGGTAAAGTCACGTAGGTATACAATAAAATAAATCACGACGTTTCGGGCGCAACACAGCGACCATCAGGTGGGAAATCTTGGTCTGCTGCTGCCTCAGCAGCTGTTATGCGTTCGTCCACATCACGTGATTTTTGCAGAACCTATAGTGCATATACAATATATCAAGGCCATAATTATAATATAAATTGGGGGGGACATATCCCCCCCAATGTTCAAATATGCTCAAAATGTCCCCCCCCCCCAATATATTGCTATAAAAATAGAATTGCTATGCTATGTAAATAAAAATAACAATTTGATCAATCTTGGCCACAATATCTGGACTTGTCTTCATATAAATCAATGCATAGATTTCTGTTCATATGATTGTGGTTATGGTTGTTCTTTATTAATCCCTAATCTCTGCCATTACATGCAATGAAACAAGAAATAGTAAAAAAGTAAAAACAGAGCAATGTAATACAATACACTATTCGACATTATTGTAAAAAATAAATCAAAAGTCCATCCTTTGTGTTAGTGACTTTTTATATTTTAGGCAGGAAATTAGTTTTCAAATTTAAATATTTTTTGGGGTTTGGACCCCCAGACACCCTGGAAGATTTGGTCCCCCCCAATGTTGACTCCATGGCTACGGTCTTGCAGTATATCTACCACAACACTGTAGTCCTAACCCTATAGCCCTGTCAACCTTATAGCCCTAACACAAATACTTTTTTTATCCGAATTCCATGGCGTTGGAATTTGGATTCTGGGAAGTGTAATTGTAATGCTTTGATTCGGAATCCGGACTCCCACTATGGAATCCATACTCCCTGGAATAAAATGCGGACTCCCTGTAATTTAATCTAGACTCCTTAAGTTAGCATGTGAGATGCCTCACAAAGGAGCATGGTATATAAAGCAATACGTGCTCCAGAAAAATAGCTCCAGAAATTCCAAACCTGCTCAGGACCCACCCGTGACCCATCACGGACTCACCCTAACCCACCCCTGACCCACCACGGACTGACCCGGACTCACCCTGGACTCCAATCGGACCCAACCCAAATATTACAAGACATGCTCCGTTCCGTCATAATTGATACATATGTAGTATCGTAGGTCTCTTCTTCCTTCTCCTCGAGGCTTGTGTGTGTGTGTGCGGGTGGCGTGTGTCACACACACACTCAGTCGGAGACGAGGTAGTCGCAGGAGGCACCGTCCTTCCCTTTTATTGTGTTCATGCCACCAACTCCAGTCCCCTCTCTCATGACCACGCTGCCGTACGACCTGGCCCAGACACGACCCTGTCTGCGTTGCACTGACGGCGTCGACCGAGACAGCCAACTCCTGTTCGGCCGTGCAATGATCGGGCGAAGGCGGCAGCGACGAAGGCGGCGACGAAGGCGGCGACGACGACAGCGATGACCAGACGAGTCCACTCCCAGAACCGGCAGCCCGGAGCTTTCACTCTCTGCTGCTTATATTCCCCTCGGCGCGGCTTGGCTCTGCCCTAGCCACGCCTCCCTTCTCGAACCCACCAGAGGGTTCCAGCGGCCACCCCACACGGTCTACCTTTGCCCCAGTTCCTCCAGCCTGCTGGCACACCCGTGTATATGCTCAACGGCGTGTGCGCTAAGTGTCTACCTGCAGTTGCAGCTGTTGTATAACAGTCAGCGCTGTCACTAGACATACAATGGATTAACAGCGACTTCCACAACTATTCCATTATTTAGATAACTGATGTGGAAAGAATGCAATCATAACACGGTTGTACAGCAGATCAGCTTTTTTGACAAGAATGCAAAACAACATTCACTTCCACAAAGCCAGCAGTAAATGTTCTGCCCATGTTTTATTTAAAAAAGAGGCTCAAAATCATAAACATTAAAGCTGTGCAAAATATTGGGCTTACAAATGTCAAAGCAATGGAATAGCAGTAACGTGATGCTTGGTTCAATATTGTGCAACAATCATATTTGACACTATCCCCAAATGTAACGTATATAAAAACACAGTCTTAAAGAATATTTTACATTTAAGCTGGACAGTCAAGAACAGGCTAGCATAGGCAGTACGGTAAATTCTCGCTTAAAGCGTGTTCACACAACGCATTTTCGCTATAATGCAGTTCTTCCATCAGGGAACCCTTTTTACACAACGCAGAATTTTCCAATTATAACGTGGACCGTTTTAATGCGGAATACATACCGTAATTAGACAGAACTTACCCATTATAACGTGAAACATTAATTATCACATGGATGGCGCCCATTAGAGCACCGACGATTACGGTAACTACTTTCTTGAACTGTGCGGCTGAGCTGTTTGATACAGTATGCAGAATTATACTGTGAGGCAGCAGCAAGCATACTCTCAGAAATTATCGCTTAAAGCATTGTTAGCTTAACGCGCCACCTTTAAAGCGTGCATCTATCACATTAAACGAGGGCTTCCTATATGTTACATTTTCAAAGGACGTTGGGTGAATACCCTTGAAGTAAATTCAAATTCCCTAATGTGAGGCGTGGCTTTGCAATTGTAGGGAGTTTAAGAAATTAAGATGTATGTGTCAAAACGCCAGTTACTCCATCGTAATACAATAGAGATAATTTCAAACAGAAAGTAATTTTTGAAATCAATTACTCCATCCTATTATCCAAAGTTCTACACCTCTATACTCTCTGGTTCTTTCGGTAAAGTCACGTAGATAGAAAAAATAATAAAAGAAACACGACGTTTCGGTCGCAACACAAGCGTCCGTCATCAGGTGAGAAAATGATCTGCTGTTGTGGCTTTATATAGGCACGGGAGGGGGGGAAGGGAGGGAGGAGTTTCGTAGAGTCGTGGCTGCAGGTGTTCACGGGGGAGAGGGTTTGTGGCGTGCAGGGACGGGTGGGGGCTGGCACGGGGGGGGAGAGGGGGTAGGGTTTGTGGTGTACAGGGACGAGTGGGGCTGGAGAAATTACCATGTCAATGAGCTTGAATTAGTAACCGAAAACAAAAACTGCACGGGTGGGTGAGTGAAAATCACAGCAGTTAAAACTTGACGTGCTTTATGACATCCTTCCAATGTTTGCTCAATCTGAATCCATCTTCTCGATTAAAGTTTTTTCTGTGTTTGTATATCTGTATGTCTTCATGAACAAATCTCTGATGGTAGCTCGAGGGTTTGAAGAGCACCTTGGTCTTGGAGAAAACAATGTCATGTGTGCCCACAGCGTTGAAACAATAATCCACCACCGCCGAGGTGTTGGTTCTACCGTGTTTCAAATCCGCTTTGTGTTCGCGAACCCAGTCTGAGACATGTCGCTTCGTTTCACCAATGTAACTGCTGCCGCAGACACAACTCAGCTTATAGACACCAGGACAATGCATGTCCAGAATCGCATCATTCACCGATGGGATTAAATCATGGATTTTGTGTACTGTATTGAACCGAACTTGGATCTTGTGTTTGTTCAAGATTTTGGAAATCCTTTTGGTAACCCCTGCTATGTATGGCAAGGTAATGGTTTTGATTAGCTCCTCAGATGGTTCTCTACCCATGGTTGGGGATGCAGCTTTGCGGATTGTGCCGTCAGAATATCCATTCCTCCTGAAAGCCTGGCATACGTGCTCAAGCTCACTGGCTAGGTGGTGCTGGTCGGAGATGCAACAAGCCCTATGGTGTAGTGTCTTGATGAGGGAATTCTTCTGGGCTGGATGGTGGTGGAAGTCAGGCTTTAGATAGGAATCCATGTGGGTGGCTCTCCTATAGACATAGTGTCCCAACGAGCCATCAGGTCTATTCTCGATCAAAACATCCAGGAATGGTAGCTTGCCATCATTTTCCACTTCCATGGTGAATTTGATAGGTGGGTGTATGGGAATAATGTGGTTGAGAAATTGTTATAGTGCCGTCAGGCCATGTGGCCAGATGACGAACGTGTCATCTACGTATCTCTTCCACAAGGAAGGACGTCGGGTGGATGTTTGGATGGCATCTGTCACAAATTTAGCCATGAAAATATTCGCTACCACTGGTGATAGAGAGCCCATTGGGGTACCTTCATTCTGTTTGTAGAAAGTACCATTTCAGGTGAAGTGTTGGTAAGGCAGTGCCTTACCAAGGCAGTGCCTTACCAAGGCAGTGCCTTACAAGATCCAAGTTCGGTTCAATACAGTACACAAAATCCGTGATTTGATCCCATCGGTGAAGGATGCGATTCTGGACATGCAATGTCCTGGTGACTATAAGCTGAGTTGTGTCTGCGACAGCAGTTACATTGGTGAAGCGAAGCGACATGTCTCAGACCGGGTTCGCGAACACAAAGCGGATTTGAAATACGGTAGAACCAACACTTCGGTGGTGGCGGATCATTGTTGCAACTCTGTGGGCACACGTGACACTGTTTTCTCCCAGACCAAGGTGCTCTGCAAACCCTTGGGCCACCTTCAGAGATTTGTTCATGAAGCCATCCAGATATACAAACACAGAAAAAACTTTATTCGAGAAGATGGATTCATATTGAGCAATCATTGGAAGGACGTGATAAAGCACGTCAAATTTTTACTGCTGTGATTTTCACTCACCCACCCGTGCCGTTTTTGTTTTTGGTTATTAATTCAAGCTCAAACTTTATTTGAAGCTTTACCAGGCTCTCATAGGGCCATTCGATCTTCTTTCCCTCGGTTGCTTCAGGATGGATTCATTGACATGCTAATTTCACTGCTCCAGCAGGTACCTCTGCCCAACCCCCCCCCCCCCCCCCCTCTCTCTCTATTTAAGGCCTCGACACAGAGGCATTGGGTCTCTGTGTGTCCATGTTGTGTGTGTTGTGGTGCCATGGCAGCGAAGCCGCTCCATGGGAGCCATACCTGCGGTGGGGGGCGGGGAGGCTGCAGCAACGAAGCCACCCGGCTTCCGTCACAGCGCTTCCCCCACCACCCCCCACATGAACACACACACACACACACCCCCACAAAGAGCCCCGAGGGGAGGTCACCTGGCCAGCAGGTTTTCACCCAGAAGCCCCCTTATGGGACGAAAACTTCACGGTTTCCTGCGACCAGGGAATTGAGCGACCTCCCCCGAGGGTGACGCGCACCGCGACGCCGTGACCTGAGTAGTAATTACATGGTCACGATGGGGGCTGCTGAAGCCACCATGGGTAGAAAGCATCCACACTCGACACGAGTCAGCAGGTGGGTAGGGGGGTGGGGCAGAGTAGCGAGTGACAGGAAGGCAAGGGGGGGCCCTTGTCTCCGCACCACGTGTGCAGGGACCTCGCCCTGGCACCACGTGTGTTGGGGCGGTAGTGGTGGAGGATCCCTCGGCCGTGCACTTGGTTAAACAATGGAGGGCGGGCGTCGGAGAGGGGACTAATTTGATTGGCCAAGAGTGGGAAATCTGAGACTCCGGATTGGATGAGAGGCCAGCGGGTTCGCGGCACGTTGGCTTTGATGTAGGGGGATAAAAAGGGATAGAGATCAGGGAGCAAGCTCTCTTTTGCTCAGGGTCGTCTGGAGTGACGGACCGAGGAGTGATCGTCCATTGCTACTCGAACGTCCGTGAGACGGGTCGCAGAGCAGCCAGGTCCAGTTCCCAGCAAAAGCCACGTGCAGCCTCGCCTTTCTGCGACTTCCTACACCTCGAGATCGGATCTTAAGTACAGAGGAGAGAGGTAAGGCCAAGGGGGAATATCCGTTAAGGAGAGTGAGTAGGGAGAGACCAGGCAAATTGGGTCCTAGACCCGCCGGGAGATAGGTTAGACCTGCCCTGCTGACCCACACTGATACGGGTAGATTAACTTCATTAAACGGAGAATAAATCGCCAGTAGACATTAAACCTTGTTGTGTTGTCTCTGCAAATACGGAGAGGGGTGCATGGTGTTGAGCCTGCGTGTTGTGGTGTCCTGTGTTTTCGCACGAGCATACATCTTGCCTGCGCGTGCACGCTCGCACGCGCACGTTAACTTGTGAGCCTGCGCGTTGTGGTGTCCGGTGTTCTCGCACGAGCGGGTATTCTACCCGCGTGGGTGCTCTCGCCACTGCGCAGCTCGTGGTTAGCATATACGAAAGGGGCACAGCGGCGTATTCGCAAGGTGGTTCGTACAGCCCCTCATGGCATGATTTAAATAAATCATGCCACGAGGGGCAGCAGCGAGGGGGGGAGAGTCGGAGAACGGTGGGTCACAGGTGAACGGGGAGGCGGGGGGCAGCCTCCCCGACAGTGTCTCTCTGTGTGTCTGTGTTGTCTCTCTCTGCTTGTTTGTCTGTCTGTGTGTCTCCGTGTCTGTTTTGTCTCTCAAATTTAATTCTACCTGATGACGGTTGCTTGTGTTGCAATCGAAACGTCGTTCTCTATTATTTCATTTATTTTCTTTCTACGTGACTTTACCGAGAGAACCAAAGAGGAATTCAAGCTCATTGACATGCTAATTTATCCAGCCCCACCCGTCCCTGCACACCACAAACCCTCTCCCCCGTGAACTCCTGCAGCCACGACTCTAACCCCCTCCCCCCCATATCGTGCCTATATAAAGCCACAACAGCAGATAATTTTCTCACCTGGTGATGGACGCTTGTGTTTCGACCGAAACGTCGTGTTTCTTTTATAACTTTTTCTATATACGTGACTTTACCGAAAGAACTAGAGAGTATGAATTCCTGCAGTAACGAAAGCTTCAAATCAAGACTTCTACACCTCTGTGCATAATAGGATCAGCAATGTAATTTGCAGGCGGGCTTTTATGGAGGTGCCAAAGCAATGGCTTCGTTCTTGGGTTCCTGTTGTTTCTGTCGACCAAGCGTGGCTCGCAGGTTGGCCCAGAAGAGGGCCTGCTTCCCGCGGTGTGCAGGCCACTCCAGGTAGGTCTTGCGCTTCATGAGGCAACGCAGCCGGCAGAAGCGGCTGGGCACCGAGTTGTGTGGAATGGGCTCCAGCAGAACGAGCACCAGAGCGTCGTCTCGGCTCTCAATGAGGCGCTGCTGCGCGAAGTACAGCTCGTAGTGGCACCACTCGCTCTCCACGAAACTCTGTGAGATGATAAAGAGAGTCTTGCGGCTCAGCTCGATGCAGTCAATAATGTTGTCCATGATATGGCGGCCGGGAATAAAGTCCCGCTCGTGCACGCAGAGTCGGAATGGTGGTACTGAGTGTGACTCCAGCTCAGGCATAAGCTGCTGCATTACCCAGGCTGCGTCCTGCTGGCTGTACGACACAAACGCATCGTAGACTGAATTTTCATCCGGATCTGCGAGGAAATTCCGTCGCTTGGCTTGGAGCCAAGCCCACGTCATGCGCACGTACCACAGCGCATCCAGGTACCAACAGAGCCCGACCAGGAGAGCAGTGCACACGAATGTGGTAACACAAGCTATCACGCTCTTCATTGTTGTGTCACAGTAGAGTGTGGGGTAGGAGACCGAGGACAGCTGTTTACCAACTTCATTCTCTGGATTGGAGCAGTGATATTCAGCTGGCCATCCTTCAATGCGCAATGGTGAGGAATTCTCACAGAAAGTGACAAAGTGGCGGATGTTGCACGTGCAATAGAATGGGTTTCCCCTCATGTCCAGCAGGGTGAGATTACCCAGATGGTGCAGGACAGAGGGCTCCACTGTCCACAATATGTTTCCGGCGATCGTCAGCACCTTCAGCCAGGGCAATGCCTGGAGCAACTCCACTGGGATGGTATTAATCTTGTTGTTACTCAAGTGCAGCTCTTTTAGGTTTTTAAACTTCATCAATTTATTGTTAACGTTTTGGATCTTATTGTTGCTCACGTCGAGCGACTGCAGTGAGGTGGGCAAGCAGTCAAACACGTCATCTGTCAGTAAATTGGACGAGATGTTGAAAACTTGTAAATTCGAAGGCCACTTGCAATTAGAACTCCATTCACTGACGATCTGATTTTCAGAAACATCAAGCAGTTTCAAAGAGGGACAACTTATTAACATGGCACCGACATTCTGTATATGAGTCAAATGGTTTTTCCTAAAAATTAGTTCCATAAGGTAAGGTAGTCGTACATTAGAGCATGTCAGGAATGAAGTATATTCTGTCAACAAATTACCCGAAATGTCAAGGGTAACGATACTTGTTAGGCCACTTAAAACTTCACAAGGAAAGTAATAGAGGTGTACAAAATTTAAGACCAATGATTGAACGTTAATTAAGAAAGGTTTGAGATTTAGAAGTGCATAAAACGAATTAAATACTTTGATATTAAAGTTTTCAATAAATATATGCCGTACATTGGGAGCAGATTTTAAACTATCCTTTAAAGCAAAATAACCATAGCCTTCATATTCAATGTGTCGTAAATTCAAACATCTTAGTTTCGTAGATTCTATTACTTCATTTACCAGAAATTTGGCAGCAGAATCTTCGACGCAGGTATGTGATATAGTTAACACTTCTACCATGCTCTGTGGCTTTGAAATACATTGAAAAGGGTTTACATCACGAGAGTAATCAGTAAAATTAAGGAATTCCAATTGCAACTCCACACTGTTACAGGAGACATCACAGATGATGTCAGTGAGCAGCTCAATGTTTGTGTGCATGGTTAAGGCCAGAGTAACACTCTTTAGACTGTGGAATGCCGACAGAGAACCTCTAGTGTAGATGGTCAGGTCTCCAGTCACAATGGAGAGATGTTCCAGTTCCATTGTCTTGCTGACACTTTGGTACATTTCGGTGACATTCGCACCCCCAACCTTTAGATGATACAGAGTCTTGAGAGATGTGAAGGAACCTGGAATATGTAAAGAATTATAGGAGTTGTTTCTAACGTCCAGAGATCTTACAGACTTGAGAACAGCAAAGGAGTCATCCCACGCCCCTGGTAATCTGTTATTACTCAGGTCAATGTCTTCTAAAGCAGAGTTGTTTAAGAAAACCCAGGGGTCAATGCTTGATATTTGGTTGAAGGCCACATTGAGAGATTTTAGCTGTAAAAGTGCTGACAGGTGCTCTCTCTGAATGCTAGAGATCTCGTTGTAGGACAGGTCCAGAGAGGTTATGGTGACTGGGAGGTATTCAGGCACAGATTGCAGGCGCAGGCGTGAGCAGTCGGCTCTGACTCCTCTTATCTGGCAGCCATTGAAGATGGAAGTCCCATGGCTCCACGCAGCTCCCACCATCAGGACGACCATCACCAGCAGAGCCACGCCCATCTCCATTGCATTCCCCTACCCTCGTAGCCAGCACTGACGACACACACAGTTACAACTGGAGGGTTATGCACGGTGAGATTCGTCATCGTCTCAGAAATCAGCAATGTGGCTGCACATGGATCAAATGAAGTCCAGAATATGGAAGCTTGGTGACACCTAATGCCCCATAGTACCAGGGCTGGCAATATAAGCACATATCGAGATACCAAATTTATATCGAGATACCAAATTTGTCATGCTGGAAAAGCATGGCATTTTTTACAATAATAGTTTAGCACAAATAGGCTACGCATCCAGCCAGGTGGCTCAGCAGTAAAGTGAGCTGCTTACAGTGGAAGATTGCGAATTCAAACAATGGTTGGTGGTTGACTTGGCCTATAATCTCTCTCGTGTCGATAAAATAAATATCACTTTGTCGGGACGTTAAGAGTAGTTAACGTTACCACCACCATAGGAATGTGGGATTCATCCTCCTGGCTGCTACTGTGCCAGGAAGGCGATTATAAATTAGCACTTCTTACGCTCAAGAAAGACTCCGCCTATAACAAGACTGCTAATCGCAGATCGCACTTTCAGCGATGCAGAAATGGTCATCTGGAATTCGCTTGGTTGGGGCCTTCCACCAATTACCAAGCAACCGGCATCTGTCCAGGCCAGCTTCCAAAACAAACTTAGAACGAGCATCTTTCACCAAAGCGTTTGAAAAATGACAAGTGGACAGGCGAGCGCCACTGCGAGTTCTATGGTACTCTATAAATATGGAGTATTATTATTACAATAATCAAGGCAATGGTGTGGAGTGTAGCTTTTTACAGAGTGGAAACGTGGACACAGAAGCGGAAGAAAGTGAGACAGTTAGAAGCTTCGAGATGTGCAGGATGGAGAGTACGATGGGCAGAGACGAGGACCAATGAAGGAATCCTGAATGGCATCAATGAAAGAAGAATGATCATGGAAGTCATCGGAATGAGAAAGAAGTGGATTGAACTCGTAGTACATGGGATGATGGACACGAATGTTGTGGATCAAATGGAAAACAAAATAGTGAGAGGAGGAGGACAGAGAACAGAGGAGCACGGAGAAGATGGCAGCCAAGGAGCTGCCGCACAGACAGAGCAGTGCCAGAGAAGATCACGATCCAACTCCTCTCTGTCTGCTTCTTCCCCCGCATGGCTCCACTGTGGAATTCTCTACTCCCAGCATCGTCCCATCCGCCAAGCTCTAACCTTGCTCTATTCAAGACACGTGTTAACTCTTACCTCTGACGGTGCTGTTTGTTGCTGACCGCTTGACGTTTTGGGGCCCGTGCTCAGCACCTGTTTAAACAAAATCCAGATCACAGCGCAATAAAGTCAAATATCCCTCTATAGTCTTTAGCAACACCGATTTAGACCGGCAAGGCACACAAGGGGCTAAGTGGCCAGCACCACGCCGGGCCGCATTTGTCTACCCAGTGCCCATGTTTACAGACTGCAACTAGTACTCATTTAAGACTGAGTCGACATAGAAGAGGCCCAGCGCCGGTTCAGATATTCCTTACTGATGTTGGCAATGAGCATGAATCGTAGCGCAGTGCACTAACCAAAGTGCCACCGCTCCCATTAGAGAAATAATGGTGTGGGTATATCATTGAACAAATTAGTTTAGCCGACTTGAGATTACAGACCCCAGTCAAATTGACCTTAAGTCACAATACAAATACAGCATTGCAAGTATGTGTGTATGTATGTTAAACTTTTACATTATGAGACCTCCTTTGCCAGTAACAAGATATAGGAATAGGTTTTACCCTTTTAACTGGCACAAAAACTGACACCTTTATTCAAGGCATCATGTTTGCAATAACCACAACACAAGCAGTCAAAATGCAAACAAAAAAGACAACTCTGATAATAATATGCACTGTCCTTGAATTTGATTGGTCCACACCCGAGACAGCTTTTCTTAGAGCCTAGTCTCCATTGGTGTTGGACCAGAAGACGCCAAAAGGCGTACAACTAAAAAACAGCGCACTATCAGAGTATTGAGGGCTCGGGGTGAGCATTTACATTATGAGACCTCCTTTGCCAGTAACAAGATATAGGAATAGGTTTTACCCTTTTAACTGGCACAAAAACTGACACACTCTGATAGTGCGCTGTTTTTGCTGGCTGACTATTATAACGACGATGACGATGGGAGCTGTGCAGAGATCGGCCATGCAGCTGGACGCTGAAGAGAGATGATGATGAAGACAGCGACAGGAGCAAAGACCCGGACCCCACGACAGCCCCGAACCTTCGGCCATGCCCCCTTATAGAACCTTCAAGCAGGTTCCTGGAGCTTCCCCGACTGACCCCGCCCTTTACCATTACCCCAGTTATGCCCCACTTATAGTTGGTTATTATATAACGCACCCATACTCGTGATTACCCCTCCTGGTCAACAGATGGCACCCTGTCATTACATCACCACCCCCCCCCCCCCCCCCCCCCCCACGCCACGTTTAAAAGATAGCCATCCCAGCTAATACTAACAAAATCAAACAAAAGAAGCAGAAGAGTTCCGCAAAAAAACAGTTAAAAAAACGAAGACAACAACAATGTTTTTGTTAAGGCGGAACAATCTGCAATGAAAAAGGAAGACCCAAGCAACAACTCGGGAAGGTAGAGGGAAGACCCAAGCTACAACTCGGGAAGATAGAGGGAAGAGGTGAGAAGAGAAAGAGGGAGGGAGAGAGAAAGGCATTTTTTTCCCCTCAGCATAACGCGTGAGCACGACCCCAAACCCCCCCCCCCCCTCATACACACACACGGGGACATTCCTATTACCGGAATCCAAAACATTTTGACCGAGTCCTCCATGCATGGGGGAAATCTTTGCATTCTTTACAGGGGATGTGGGCTCGAACAGAAGACCCGGAGAAGTTAGTTCCATCCCTGGCTTCAAAGGTGAGGTGGGCCGGGTCGCAGCCGACGGCCCCTCGCATTCGGCGAGACCTCGTAACCCACCAACCTTCAGGGGCTCGGAAACTGTGGGCGGCACAACACAATCCTTCTGATGCACCCTCTCTGTGGCCACTTCCCCTGGCTCGTAGGACACATTAGACACCGACCATACAAAACTTGGAGATGAGGTGTCAGTTTGGGGAGGAACATAAGGCTTCAACCACGATGGATGGACAAACGAACGGCGACGGCCCACTCGTATACGCACGCACTGTGGCTGATTGACCTCCACCACTTCCACGGGACCTTGTCACAGCCGATGCTTTTCAGGGACGTTCCCAACGGCACCAGTGGGCAGTGCATCCATGCCCGGTCCCCTATGGCCCAATGCAGCACATAGTCATGCCGCCCCGCATTTCTTTCGTTAGCCGTCTGTGCTTTGGCGGTGTTTGCCTTGGCCGCTTCGCGTGCTGCTGAAACGCGCTTTAGCATAATATGCAGGGGTGTAGGCAAGATCGTTTTACCCTTGTTCTCTGACAGACCCAATTGAACCTCCATGGAAGGTTCATTTTCTCTTCCATACATGAGAACAAACGGTTAAAATCCCGTGGAAGCATGGGGAGTCATCCTTTATACTGCCAGGACACCCAGAACATGCATATCCAAATCAGTTTGAGCCACACTAACCGCCTAACGAAGCATGGATGTCAGGGTTCTATGCAGGTGTTACACCATCCCGTCTGTTTGGGGATGATATGGCGACGTACTAATCTTCCTAGTGCCCATTGCGTCACAAACTTCGTGCAATAGCTTCGATGAAAAATTCCTCCCTTGATCCGTGAGAAGCTGCCTGGGGCCCCTTTTATCCATTACATAATCTCTGCAAAATTGCCTTGGCAATGGAAGCTGCCGACTGGTTGGGCAACGGTCAAGCCATCGGCTACTGTGAAAAATATTCAACACCAACCAGGAGAAACGTATTCCCACTCTGCTTGGCCGGAAAGGGTCCTAGAATATCGAGCGCAACCAACTCGTTAATCCGCGATACTGAGATGGGCTGCAGTGAAGGCTGGGACTTCCTTAGCGGCAGTTTTCTGCACGCATAGTTCATACAACCCTTAAGTGATGCACGTCGATCAACATTCCCGGCCAATAAAAGTCGCGCTGCAACGTTAACAACGTCTTATGCACTCCAAGATGTAACAATTTGTCCTCGTGCACCACTCGAGTCAATTTTCCTCGAAGGGTGGTAGGAACCACAGTGCGATGACGGTGCAGCCCTTCATCCCCCAACATCAAAAGGTAGTCCCGAAGGACCGGTCGTGGGGCGTCAGAGGGAGCAGACTCTTTGTGCCCCGATTCAGCATGATGCCGCAAAGCCATAAGGGACACATCCTCCATCTGCAACTGCCCCCACTCGGCGCACGTAAGGTGCAAAACGCTGTCACCCGGCGCGAACCCCCCGGCGGGCTACCCTTCATCAAGTGCCGTTATGACAGCTGCAGGTCCTGCCGCCGGGCGTTTACAATGACCCGCGCCGGATGAGCACGCACAGCTCACCCCTTGGGGCAGGTGGGATAATGCGTCAGCATTGCAATGCTGCACCCCTTTACGATATATCACTCGGAATGAGTACTCCTGGAGAATTTCCAGCCAGTGTGAGAGCTGGCCGGAAGGTTGGTCCACTTGCAGGGAGTACTGAAGGGCCGCGTGATCGGTGTGAACAATAAATTATCTGCCGTAGAGTTAAAGCCTATACTGTTGTACAAAGTACACCATGGCCAACAGTTTCCTGCGGGTAACACAGTAGCACTGTTCTGCAGCGGACAAGACGCGGCTGCCATACGCAACTACCTGGGACAGGACGGCTCCTATACCTGTGTTACTACTAGCGTCCATGTCGTCGAAAACTAACGGCAGGGAGAAATCCAGATAGTCGAGTTGGGGCACGTTGGATAGGCGCTCACAAAGGGCTACAAACGCAGCCTCCTCCTCTACCTCCCACTTGAATCACTTGTTCTTGGCAGTCCGAGCATGTAGGGGCTTAGCCACCGTGGCAAACTGCGGCACGAATCTGCGATAATATGACGCAAACCCAACGAAGCTGCGCACTTCACCCACGGACTTGCGGGTCGGCCAATCTCGCACGCATGCCGTTTTCTCAGGGTCCATGGCTATTCCATTCAAACTAACGATGTGACCCAAGTAATGCACGGAAGTTTGCAGCAAATGACATTTAGCAGGCTTCAATTTCAGATTAGCTGATCGAATCCTAACGGACATAGATCGCAACCACTGGAGGTGTTCTTCAAAAGTGCGACTGAACACGATAATATCATCAAAATAGATGAGTCCCACTGTAGGCCAGCCAAAACCAGTTCCATAAGCCGCTGAAAGGTGGCCAGGGCCGAATACAATCCCATCGGGAGACAATTAAATTGGAAGAGTCCCTGGGGTGTGCGGAACGCGGTTTTAGGCTTCAACGACTCCTCAAGGGGAAGTTGCCAAATCCCCGATAATAAATCGAGTGTAGAAAAAAAATGCGCACCGGACAAGGTGTCCAGGGAGTCATCCATGCGTGGGAGCAGGTACGCGTCGGCCACTGAGACCTTATTTAATTACGAAAATCTACATAGAACCTAAGACTGCCATCATGTTTCTTAACCAGCACCATGGGCGCTCCCCAAAGGCTGGTAGAAGGAGAAATTATATCCGCGGCTAACATCTCATCCACCGCCTGTTGCACATGCTCTTTCTCCCGTGGACTCAACCGATACAAGTTCTGACGAATCGGTCCGGCCTCCCCCTTATCAATGCAGTATTGCAACAGAAAGGTACGGCCGATAAACTTACTTTTACTAAATACATCCGAAAACTCGTGCAGCAGTGACCGTAATTCTCCTCACTGCACCGGAGACAACTACGGGTTTTCCTGACACAACGCCTCTGTCCACGTCTCGTCTGATCCAACACCCTGTTCCACTGTGCCAACAATCCCGTTGTGTGCAATCCGGGCACCTCGCAACATGTGGCCGTTGCGTGGGCCAGCACCATCCCCGCCTGAACCACAGCCATTCCCGGGCCCGCATTGAGCACCTGTAAGAATAGTTCCTGGTTCAGGCGAAGGATTATCTGTGTGCCGACCAGCGCTAGGCCACGGGTCACTGTATTGTACGAAGTCAAAAGGACTCCCGCCTCCGGGTCAGTAATTCGCAATTGCTTGCAGTAGCACAACGGTATTAACATCTGTGAGCCTGGCGGGATTTCCACCGAGTCCCTGGCAAGGGCCTGGACCGTGACACTCGCCACCGCACTTTTGTGTGGAGACTGCAAGAAAAACAGTCTATGGCCCGATGGCATCTCCACACAGCCCTGATCAATCAGGATCTTGAGGAGCATCTTACTAAAAAAATCAGTGCCCAAAAGGCAGGGCACCGCCAGCATCCTCGAGATCAACACAGACCCAACCACCGCGATCTCGCCAATTTCGACGCGAGCCTCTCTCTGCTCTATGATATCCATACTCCCTCCATTCGTCACGAAGCATGCATTTACCACCAGCTTAACATGCTGGTTCCTTGTTGGCAACAAATAAAGAAATCACATCAGATATAATGGTGGCGGAAGCACCTGTGTCCACCAGAACATGTACCTCGATCCGCTAGATGGAGCCTGACACCACCAAGGAACCCTATGCGGCCACGATCCCCCGACGAGCCAACTTCCTCCACTGTGTACCTGAGCTAGGCCACCCTTGTGCAGCTAGTCCCGGCTTGTACACCTCCGCCATCTTGGCATATGCCCCTTGAAGAGTGGTATTTTTCTCAGTGGGGATGGCTCGGAACGCTGTGAGGGCGTCGTTGTCCAACGTTGTCGGCAGAGCCCTCAATGCCTCCTCTTCGGTCCAGTTCACTGACCGGAAATCCGCTTCAAAATGCCAGGTAAAAGTGCTCCAGTCACCCCCTGCAGCGACGAATTCCATGACAGGAGGTAATCAGCGGGTCTGATCAGTCCCTTTTTCACATTTTTCTGTAGCGGGAGTCGCTTTTAGCGATTCACGCCCGTGTCGTAAAATGGCGGCCTCCTGCGTGTTTCTCCCGCACAGTGCATAATGGCATCTCCCGGACGTGTTTCTCCCGTGTGTTGCATAATGGCGGGCCGCCGACCGCGTGTCCTCACGCCACATGTAATGGCGGCCACCGCACCCGTGGACGTTTCCGCCGGAACGCCGATCAATGGCGCCTGTTCCCTTCTCTCCGGCGAGGTCCATGCAGCGTTACAAGCTGCGAGACCATCGCCCGCAGGAGCGCAAGCTGCGCAGTCACCTTGTGCCATCCGTCTTCGGGCTGCGGCTGCGGGAAGATTGCTCCCATCTCCCCCGCCTCTGCCGCAGCCAATCCTCCAGCCGCGGTGTTGGTGACTGGGACTGCAGTTCCCGGGGCTGCCGGGGGGCTCTGCGTGTAATTTTCTTCCTCGTCGGAAGATGGTTGGACATTCTTCCTTTTTCCAAGCACTTCTGACTCCAAATGTAGTGAGCAACTTCCAAGACACAACGTGTAGAGGACTTCTTATTTATTTATCATACTTTAGGCACAATCACTGGGCGACATATATATGTAGTGATTGTAGAATCACTACTGTGTACACACGCACAGGCGTGACGTCACTATGCGGGGGAGCGTCATGACCACGCGGGTCTACACACACGCATGACGTCATCCCGGCTGGAGGCGGGAATGACGTCAGGGCTGGTTCTGGGCTCCGGGAGGCCACGAGGGTGGTGTGAGGCTGTGGCACTCTCTGTGACCCCGGCTGGACACGTGACTGGACCCCAGTGGGGGCTGGGGGCCTAGGGGGCACCCCGGAGGGCACGTGGACAGCAGGGGGGCTTCGAGAGGGTTCTCGAAGGGAAGCGTGGCCGGGGTGGGGCCCGGGCACGCCGAGGCCCATATAAGCAGCCGCCTCACGAGGTTCGAGGCTGCCCGTATCAAGAACGAAGATGCATCATGAAGACGCCAAGAGGAGTCAAGCCTCCAGTCAGTGGACCTGGCAGTAGCCTACCTGGCTGGATTAACGCTAGAGTATTTGAGAAGTATGTGTTAGCTAGAGTAGGTCGGTGGTCACCATCTTATGTGCAGTGTTATATTACTTACCGTTCTAATAAATCAGCGTTGCCTCCCAAGGAGTCGTGTGTGCACCTAATTCGAACCCACTACATTTGGTGTCAGAAGTTGCGGAAAAATAAATAACGTTAGGTGTTATCCTAGTCAGTATAATATGTGCACGATTACTACAACTTACCTGCTCGCTTTCACACGACGAGGAGGCGAGACGATCATCTTCGGGGCAGCCCCGGGGTTCTGCAGCCTCGGTGAAGGAGGGAGATGGCGCTGCAGGCGGGGCAGCAGCACGCACATCACGTCGCTGCTTCGCCGCCATCGATGGAGAGAGAGCGACGGAGCTGTAGGAGAGAGGCCGCCGCCGCCGCTGCTGCGGGTGCCTGGGCGGGAAATTCGCGCGCGCATGGTGCACGCGCGGCCGCCATCTTGGCGGGCGGTCGGGATGCGGTTCCCGCCAAAACGCCGTTCCCGCCATTCTCAACGCCTGTGGAGGGAGATCTTGGGCCGTCTTGGTGGCATCCTGTGCTCACCATCCAAGAGTCTTCAAGTTCCACAGTGCAGCCTCCGTTCCTCACAGCCTCTCAGGCGAGTCGTGACACAATGCACCCGGCCCTAAAAACACACTTCACCCATCTTGCGTGCGCCGGGTTGCGATTAGGTGTTTTTTTTACTCGCTGGGTTGCGAAGCGTGTTAGTTGGGTTGGGTGCGTGGCAGATTGACGCGGCGCCCGTGCGTGTGTCTGCTTTGTAACAGTGTTGTTAAGTACGGCGTCGGGATTGTTATCTTAAGGAGCCAGTTAATGATTAATTCGGCTATGTGGGGGGTCTCGGGCTCCGTTAAGATCCAGTGAATTGCCGGGTTAATGATTTGTTGACACTTTGTTTGATTGCCGTTGCGGAGTCGCGATTGTTTTTGGGTATACAGTATGGCGCTTCGCTTGTGAATGTTGTCAATGTGTGACTGTGCGAAACTTTGCTTGTGAGTGTTAACAATGTATGCTTTGTATGGAGCTTTGTTCGTGATTGTTAATATATAGCTTGTGCCACATTTGTTAACGAAGTGTTGATTGTATGGGATTTTTCTCGAGATCGCGATGTGTGGACTGTGTGTACTGCATAGACTCTCTCTGCACTGATACGGGTTGTGACGTACATTGTTGTGATCCTTGTTGCGGATCGTTAAATTGTGATGGTGACATATGGTGCCAGTGATTTGGATTGTGCTGCTGGCTGTGTCTAATCAGGGCCAAAGATCCTGACCAGAATGCCCCCTGTCATTGTTGCGTGTTGACACGAGTGTGGTCCCGTCATGGTGTGGCTGACGGCTTGACCTGACAGCCCAGAGATTGAGACACTCCGTGGCGTGTCTATCCTAGTGGGCAGTTCACTCACATGGCTCGGAGAGTGTGGTCCCGTCATGCTGTGGCTGATGGCTTGACCTGGCGGCCCGGAGATCGAGACACTCTGAGGCGCGTCTGAGACAGTGAGCCAGAGGCTCAGGGAGCTTGTGGTGAGTTGCTCTCTCAGCTCGGTTGGTACAGCTAAATGCTGCAATGCGAGGCTTGGAGAGAGGGGTTGGTGTGTCCTCTCAACCCGGTTGGGACAGCTGATTGCTGCAATGCGAGTCCTGGAGAGAGGTGTTCTTGTGTCTTCTCAGCTCGGTCGGAACAGCTACATGCTGCGATGCGAGTCTTGGAGAGAGACTGGGTTATAATTCCCCCGATACGGCCGACACGTGCGCGTCGGAAAGGTGGGGGGTGCTACCGAGTGGCATGAGATGTCTGGGTTGGCCTTCAAGGGAGGGGTTCTGAGTTGTGCGAGCGCGGGAAACCGCAGGGGATGCGGGTCGTGCATGCGGCCGCCATTTTGTGCGTGCATGGGTATTTGTGTGAACCATTTCTGGGCAAGAGCAGGCATTTTTTTTGTCACGTCGATTTAACATTTTTTTTACAAAAAATGTAGATACTGAGGCAACGCTGAAGTGCGACTTCTTTGCCCAGTACATGGGTCAACCTGGAAGCATGACTTCCTTGACCCGGGATGTTGTACAACATCCAACGGTTGTACCTTTGGTTGCAGCATACTGGCTCGACCTTGAAGAGTGACTTCCTTGAGCCAGTACATGGGTCGACCCTGAAGTGCGACTTCTTGACCTGGGACGTAGGGAGACGTCCGGAATGTTAAGTGGTGTTTGTAGGTGGGTGTTAGACTTTCGGTCTTCGCCCTATTGCCACCTGTGGGGTGGAACGGTAACAGGGCGGTGTGAGACCCTGCCATCTATGGGGTGGTTGTGTGGTTTTGGTTTGATTTACCGGTGTTGGTTGTGCATCCAACGCGTCGGAATCTATGTATTTTTGTTTTTATTTCTTCCGCTGGGCGGAATACGATCATCTCCACTTCCCTGGGCCGGGTGGCTGTCGTGTCCGACGAGCTGAGGCGTGGGCTTGTGGTGCTGTGCCTCAGGAGGTGGTTTCTTCTTGTCACAGGATTCCTGCACCTGCCGCCGTTGGAGTCGCCGGTTGTGCTGACCGGATGTGGACTTGAAGGGGAGAGTGGAGCGCCCGTACGTCACTCCTGCTCATCCTGTTGCCCAACTCCTGGGGAGGGGCCGTGCCCTTTTTGGGCCTTTTTCAAGTTCCCCCAGGACCTCCAGGGAGAGCGTGCTCGCCTCCCCTGGAGGCTCGGCCACGCGAATTCGTTTGAAGACTGGCCGCTGTCCATGACTCTCACACCTTGTTGATTGCCTACACCGTTGTCAAGCAGCCACATTCATATGTCGGTGCATGCGTACAAATTCACACGGATGGGCTGTGCTGAGGGATAAGTGGGTTGACGAGTTCTTTTGATGTACATGTTGTTGTTGGTTCCCCTCATTCCATACATTCTTCCCTTCCCCCCCTCTCGGTGTGTGTACGTATGTTTCTCGGGGTGATTATTGTCGGTCGCCGGTTGTTTGTTGACGTTGTTGTTGGAGGCACACTGATTTTTTTCTGTATTGTCACAGCCGAGACGGCTGGTTTTTTTTAGATGGGGGAGGGTGATGTAGTGATTGTAGAATCACTACTGTGTACACACGCACAAGCGTGACGTCACTATGCGGGGGAGCGTCATGACCACGCGGGTCTACACACACGCATGACGTCATCCCGGCTGGAGGCGGGAATGACGTCAGGGCCGGTTCTGGGCTCCGGGAGGCCACGAGGGTGGTGTGAGGCCGTGGCACTCTCTGTGACCCCGGCTGGACACGTGACTGGACCCCAGTGGGGGCTGGGGGCCTAGGGGGCACCTTGGAGGGCACGTGGACAGCAGGGGGGCTTCGAGAGGGTTCTCGAAGGGAGGCGTGGCCGGGGTGGGGCCCGGGCACACCGAGGCCCATATAAGCAGCCGCCTCACGAGGTTCGAGGCTGCCCGTATCAAGAACGAAGATGCATCGTGAAGACGCCACGAGGAGTCAAGCCTCCAGTCAGCGGACCTGGCAGTAGCCTACCTGGCTGGATTAACGCTAGAGTATTTGAGAAGTATGCGTTAGCTAGAGTAGGTCGGTGGTCACCATCTTATGTGCAGTGTTATATTACTTACCGTTCTAATAAATCAGCGTTGCCTCCCAAGGAGTCGTGTATGCACCTAATTCGAACCCACTACATATACATGGCTATGCATAGCTGACCCATTACACAGCCCATCGTCGGCGTCTAACTATATAGCTGGCTGACTAATATAGCAATGATGACGATGGGAACTGTGCAGAGAATTGGCCATGCGGCCGGATGCTGAAGAGAGATGACGGCGAAGACAGCGACGGCAGCCAGGACCCAGACCCCACGAAAGCCCCAAACCTTCGGTCACTTACCCCTTATATACTTCCCGGCGTGGCCAGGCCCCGCCTCCGGCCACGTCCCCTTCTAGAACCTTCGAGCAGGTTCCCGGAGCTTCCCGACTTACCCCGCCTTTTACCTTTAACCCAGTTACGCCCCCCCCTTATAGTTGGTTATTACATAACACACCTAAACTCGTGATTAACCCTCCTGGTCAAAAGATGGCACCCTGTCATTACACATGCAACAATATCAAACGAGTCTGGTTTCAAAAGGATACTGTCATTATTCAAATATACCCTAGACAACGAAACACCCAAACAATTGACTGATACCAATTGAAACAACAGCTGTCATTGCCACTATGTGGCTTTGCCATTCCCATGGCGCTTGTGCCAGGCTGGGTGCACTCCGAGGCCAAGTGAAGTATCGAAGGCTCACAGGCAGGAGGTTATGGGACAGACCCAGCAGCCATGATTTGAGTGACTGAGATTAATAGTAGATGCATCACCCCCACTGTGTAAACTTGCTGCGTTTTAGCAACTCGGCACTCTGATAGCTGTGACTGTCGATCTTCCACCCTTCGTTTTTACTGGAGGGTGACTGCCTCCAACTGCCTAGTAGCATTCTTCACGAACCTCCTC